GTCATATTTGCTATTTCCGGCTGTAGATGCTCTAACATAGACTAGTGTCATATGGTTCCCGCTGATAACTAGCCTAACCAAACACGTGGATTAGCCTCCTGGGTACAGAACGACCCGTTACATTCCATAGTTTCTACTTGATGACCAAGAGGCTGTTTGGTTGGCATCCTCGCTCTGCCACGTCTAGCCTGACCTCTGCCTGAAAACTGCTCGAGTAGTGTTTGGATGCTGTCTAGATAAGCGCAAACTAGCCTGACTTGGTGATGTCAGCGTCTTACTTAGCGTGACCCCTAACCCAGGCATGTTGTTTAGCTTGCGCCAGGCGTTGGAAATAGCTTGCCTGGGTGCTGCCTAGCAACTGATTCCACTTCAATCAGCATATTCTCCTATGGGCCATGTCTTATTTTTTAGTATTGATCTTTCTGCAGACGTGAACAACAAACAAACATGATATACCTACCACGCAGCAAGCCTGATAAGCTATCTTAAAAAACAAACATGATATACCTGGTCAGGCAGAAATTTTCTAGGCACGCGCATCACTTTGTGCTTGGCAGGGCGAGAACCAAAAAGGCCCCTAAACCAAACACACCCTATGAAATGGAGGAAGTACTATGTTGAGAAAATGTTATTCAACAGAGCCGAACCCATCTCCATTTCATTTTGCGAATCACCCTCGGCGAGACCCGGACCCGGACCGGAGCACCATCCGTCTCCGGCATCTTAACCCGCCGTCCGTGCCCCGTCGCCCACTGCTCATCCCCGCCGCGATGGGGAGCGTAGACCTGGTGCTGAAGTCAGCGTGCGAGGGCTGCGGCTCCACGTCGGACCTCTACGGCACTGGGTGCAAGCACACCACGCTCTGTAGCTCCTGCGGCAAGTCCATGGCGCTTTCCCGCGCCCGATGTCTCGTCTGCTCTGCGCCCATCACGAACCTCATCCGGGTATGGATCCGTTCGTTTCCGCGTGCATGTGATCGCCGTTGGCGCGAACGCTCTCGATCTAGGGTTTCGGCGTTCGGTTGCTCCAGTAGCCGGATGTGGTTTATGTCTGTGGGATTGGTGCGCTGGATTATGCGATTCATTGTTTTGACGCTCCGATGAATTGAATTATGTTGCTCAGTATGCCATGGATTGCAATCAAGGTTTTCTCACTACACTACGAACAGAAAATGACTGCTATTTCTCAGATCTTCGTGTAATAAAGAATGGCCACGATAATAATATTAGTTCGAGTTGCAATTTCAAAATAAAGAATTAAGATGATGGCACAAATTGAGAAGAGAATTTTGTCTGGATCTGCTGCAATTCATGTTACCTGGAACTATATGCAAGAATGGTTATTTTTAGTTCTGGATCTTGTGGCTGCTTATGTTATGTATGAGAAGAAGAAGAAAATGGATTTGGGACTTGACCAAAAGAACTTGATTGGCTTTGATTTTGAAATTTTAGCCCTGTACAAGTTACATGACTCATCTGTTTATACTAGAGCTTTGGATGGTAAATCGGACGAAAAACCAACTGGTAGTATTTGGTTTAGTGTGCCAGTGAGAAGTTGCACTAGGGTAGCTGTGGATAATTGGGGATGTTGAAGTGCAAACATGGGAGTGATTGCTAATGTTTCTTGAAGTGTGTTATAATGAATCAGTGGAATTTTCTAATTTTCCACTTCTATTTGAGTCGTTACTTATAACCTCAATCTCAAATTTCGCATACAAAAATGTCAGTACAAACCATTTACACAATATTGATGTAGACTACAACCATCAAACATAAAAGGTGAAAATATTAATTTAGGAGGGGCTAGGGCACACCCTAACCCCCACCCCTATTCACAGTGTTCACAGTGTAGTTAGTTTCACAGCTTTATGCAAGCTCTTCATGTGTACTATGCAGTTATTGTTGTGAAAATTGTAGTTGCATATTATGTGCTGTCTGCAGCACAAATTGTGAGTTATGTCAGTTCTGGGAACAGGGCGGATCAGCTATGTGGTTCGTCTATTTACACTATGATGTACTCATTGTGAATCTTTCTCTTTCAGGAATACAATGTGCGGGCAAATGCCAGCACAGATAAGGCATTCTCTATTGGAAGATTTGTAACTGGTTTGCCGCCATTCTCAAAGAAAAAGAATGCTGAGAACAAATGGTCTCTTCATAAAGAAGGCCTGCAAGGACGGCAGCTTACTGACAAAATGCTGGTATGTACTTTTGGATCATCATTCATCATTATTTATTCAACAATTATTCCAGTACAATAGAGGTATCATAGTTATTTTTGCTATGCTTGAACCAAATGTTATCAATTTCTCTGCCATGTCCTGGATAATATTTGATCGAGAATGATCTGTTTTGAGTTGAAGTTCTAAGTTTGTGCAGTTGGCCCTTCTAACTATGTGGATTTACATTTGGAAACTCCAGGAGAAATACAACAGGAAGCCATGGATTTTGGAAGATGAAACTGGTCAATATCAGTTTCAAGGTCACATGGAGGGATCACAGTCAGCAACAGCTACATACTATTTGTTAATGTTGCATGGCAAGGAATTTCACGCATTTCCTGCTGGTTCCTGGTAATACACTTGTTCCACATTTTGCCGTGCTTTTCATTATGTTAGCCCAAATCAGGATTGTAGTAAAAAGAAGGTAAAAACGAGAGTCAATCATGACAGTCCATTGTTACAACTTTGACAAGTGAATTTTTTGACAAAACAAAAATTCAATGTTGTGAGTTTACTATCTGCAACAAATTCACTCAAATAATTTCCTTTTGTCTTAACAAGAGATAAGTGTCAAAGATAGAACAGTATGGGTGCTGCTACTGGTCTATACCATTGGAGCTGCTCCTGATGGTACTGTTAAGGAGTATTACTCTCTGCGCACGAAGGCTGCTCCTCAAGCCGACCAAGATCGGTCTGGTTGGACATGGTAACGCCCGCGGCTGCTTTTCGTTGCAGGACGCGCCTGCTGTCTTCCGTCAACAGGGGTGTGAAGCTCAGCTGCCAGCTTGCTTCTTCCACCCACGTTGCTGCCTTCCTCCTTCAGGCCGGCTTCCACGCAGCTCTCCTCCGCTAGCGTGCATGCCTGACAGTTTACTGCACAGCGTGCTGCTCAATTTCTGCTTCTGTGCGCGCTGCTCTAGCTGTGTGCATCCGCAGGCCTGCTCGCTTGCTGCCACGTGCGTGGTTCATCCTTTGCTAGTTTTCCTGGCTACTGCTGCTACTTGCGTGCTGCTCTCACTGCTGCTTGGATGATGCTGGTCTCCTACATCTACTTCTATCTAGGGTGTTCCTTTTTTTTGGGCAGGCTAGTTTTCTATTTCTTCCGCTGTGTCCACCAAATCCGTTGATATTTTGTGTTTTCTCATGTCATGTGAGTCCACCATACCTATGTCCGTCAGCCTTTTTCTGGTCATTGTCCTCTGTATAGGATTTCTGTGACCTCTCTTTGCATTGTTGATCTAAGCCCATTCTCTTGCCGCCGAGCTTCTTTCGCCGTCAGTTTTCATGGGTCATGATTCTTTAAGCAATGCTTCTTCTCTTGATGTGCCATCTTCTTTCGACAACCCATCTTCTCTTGATACTTATCTTGTATCTTCAATTGGTGTGGTGTCTTCCTCTTGATGTGCCATCTCTTCTTTATCCCCTTTGGTGACTCGACAGGTTTTGAAGACTCTTCATGCTACAACGACACTCAAGACGCGGATTTGGATTATCATTTTTTTTAGTATTACACTTCTTCAAATG